CTAAGGAAATCGGAAAAAATTCTTTTTTTTTTTTTTTTAACTAAATCATAGCTGTGTACATACATTAATGCAATCATGGGGGTACAGTGTGGTGTTTTCATATACAATTTGAAATATTTTCATCAAAAGAAAAAATTCTAAACAAGTTAATGTCTTAACGCTAACTTAATGATGAGAACAATACCTTATAACAGACTAGTTCCTTCATAAACCAGCCTTCAGCCAAAGCTTTGAGGAAAAATTTCCCTAAGAATGATAATTTCTAGGTCATTGTCTAAAGCACTTAAAGAATATGAAGGAAGAATGTTCCAGAAACAGGGCAAGAATTTAAGATCTACATGAAAATGGGGTGAAATACTAAGCCACCTTCAGACTTCTATGTCTCTGCTACCTTTCAAAAAAAGTCTGTGGGGAGTCATGGTGTACGACACACCTTCTGGGGGCGGGACACAATTATAAGAGGGACTTTACCTAACAAATGCAATCAGTGTAACCTGGTTCTTTGTACCCTCAATGAATCCCCAACAATTTAAAAAGAAAAAGTCGGGCTGCCCCTGTGGCTCAGTGAGTAGGACGCTGGCCCCATATCCTGAGGGCCCAAGAGGTAGAGGTTGCTGTGACGCCATAGCACTTTACCAAGGGTGACAAAGTGAGAACTCTGTCTCTTAAAAAAAAAAAAAAAAAAAAGCAAATAAAAAGAAAAAGTCTTGAATAAATAGGCACTGACAGTATCAACTCAGAAGCACAGGAATTTTTTAACTATAACCAATTACATGTTCATAAATTCTAGACTAAAATTTGCTTTCAAAACTTTATAATGGAAAACAAACATTCTCTGTACCCCTCTACACACCTATGACTTGTTCCCTTCCTTTTTGTCCTGAGACAATGTTAAAGTGAGATGATGTTATTTCTCATTTTAGTAGTCACACAAACTATTCAATATCCCAAAGTAGGGAAATAAATTATCTGAAATCTCAAAAGGATCTGCTTTCTGAAAAAAGAAAAGCAGAAGCAGAACAGCATTAGTAGAGCAAAGCTCTAGTGTCAAAGAGTCCTCAGATCAGGTTCTAGCTCCAACACTTGTGAGCTTTGCTACATTTCAACTTCTTTATCTATAAAATGGGGATCATGCTACATAAACAACTCCAGAAGATAAAATTAAATCAGCATTGTCTATACTTGCCTGGTCACCAGAATTTCCTGGGAAGCTTATTAGAAACATAATATTATACTGCTGAAAGTGTAGCCCTGAAATTTGTTATTTTTAAAAATTCCAAAGGTGATTCTTATATACCAATCCCTCAATATGGAAATGACTGAAAAACCACATTTTTGATTAGCAAGAAGAAAACGAGTGATCCCATCTCAGGGTGGGCAAGGGATCTGAAGAGAAATTTCTCTAAAGAAGATGGGCTCATGGCCTTCAGATATATGAAAAAATGCTCACCATCCCTAATCATCAGAGAAATGCAAATCAAAACTACTTTGAGATATCATCTAACTCCAGTGAGATTAGCTTATATCTCTAAATCCCAAAACCAGAGATGCTGGCGTGGATGTGGAGAAAAGGGAACACTCCTACACTGTTGGTGGGAATGTAAACTAATACACTCCTTTTGGAAAGACATCTGGAGAATACTTAGAGAACTAAAAATAGACCTGCCATTCGACCCTGCAATTCCTTTATTAGGTATATTCCCAGATGACCAAAGATCGCATTACAACAAAGATATTTGTATCAGAATGTTTATTGCAGTCCAATTCATAATTGCCAGGTCATGGAAGAAGCCCAAGTGCCCATTGATCCACGAATGGATTAACAAACTGTGGTATATGTACACCATGGAATACTATGCAGCCATAAAGAAAGATGGAGACTTTACGTCCTTCATATTCACATGGATGGAGCTGGAAAATGTTCTTCTGAGCAAAGTATCACAAGAATGGAAGAAAAAGTATCCCATGTACACACCCCTACTATGAAACTAATTTATACCTTTTATATGTAAGCTATTAACCAAATAGCCTAAGAATATGGGGAAGGGGAGGGAGAAGGGAGGGGGGAATGGGTAGAGGGAGGGGGATTGGAGGGATCACTTCTGAGGTTTATCTTACAAGGGTACAAGTGAATCTTAGAGTAGAATGTGAACGTTTTAAAATAATAACTAAGAAAATGACACGAAGGCTATGTTAACCAGTTTGATGGAAGTGTTTCGGATTGTGTGTAAAAACCCCACACTGTACCCCAGAAGTGCATTAATGTACATAGTTACCATTCAATTAAAAAAAACACACACACACATTTTTGGTGGGGGGCAGGGAAGGAAGATTCTGGAGGACAGAGTCTTACTCTGTTGTTACTCCGGCTAGCGTGCCATAACATCAGCCTGGCTCACAGCAACATCAAACTCCTGGACTAAAGCGATCCTCCTGCCTCAGGCTCCCAAGCAGCTAGGAATGTTCTATCACACCTGGCTAATTTTTTCTATTTCTAGTAGAGACAGGGTCTTGCTTTTGCTCAGGCTGGCCTCAAACTCCTGAGCTCAAGGGATCCTCCTACCTCAGCCTCCCAGAGTGCTAGGATTACAACTATAAGACACAGTGCCCAGCCATTAAACATACATACATTCATACACAAACATACACATACACACTTATATACATATATACTTTTTATATATTTCTACAAAATGTATATCTTTATGCATAATATAACAGTGCCCTAACACACTATAAATGTTCAATAAATGCTTGATATCATTATTTTTAAATTGGAGACAAAACAAAGCCTCTAGTAACAAATGGCCACTAAGTAGTCTTGCAGAACCACAGTTTGCATAAACCTCTCACCAAAAACAAAACCTGAAGAATAAACCATACTGTTTTGGACACAGGGAAAGATGACACAAAATGAAGTTCCACACTGATGACAAAGCCCCTTTTCTACAACATATAACAGAAAGAAAGCATAAAGTCAGGCCTGTCTTATATTTTCATTACAAAGTTTGACCATGTAGGTCACTTCTTCACAAAATCTTAGAATTTATTCCTTATTTTTCAGCATAATAAATAACCATAATAAAGCAATGCAAAGTAACTGTGTACAATAACATTAACCATAACAAATATCTAAAACCCACAAGGATGAATACTGATGTAAGATCCTTGGTTCTTATTTACGAAAAACAACCTTTCCTTTTTAAAGGTCTACACTCTTGCACTAATTAGTTAAGTCCAAATCAAGGGCATAAAAAACACAGACACACACACACACACATATATATGCCCTTTAAAATAATGCTTTTCCCACAGTTTTGTATCAATATGGCATACAGATAAATGTTACCTATAAGGTTAAATTACTATTTTAAAATTCCTCTATGAAAACCTTTAAAAAATTATTTACAAAGGTGGTTTCCAGCTTATTTCTATCATATCACAGATCTGGGATAAAATCGAAAAGTATAGTACTAAATGCATTCTTTTCTAAATTTAGATTCTAGAGCTGGATACAGTGGCTCATGGCTGTAATATCAGCACTTTGAGAGGCCGAGGTGTATCGCTTGGGGCAGGAGTTCAAGGCCAGCCTTGACAACACAGAAAGATCTTGTCTCTACAAAACATAGAAACATTAGCCAGGTATGTGGTGCACACCCAGCTACCCCAGGCAGGAGGACGGCTTCAGCCCAGAAGTTGAGGGTGCAATAAGCTAATGATAACACACCACTGCACTCTAGCCTGGCCAAAAGAATGAGACTGTTTAAAAATATCTATCTATATCTATATACATAGATAGATAGACAGATATACACACACACACGTATATATTCAGAAACTAAGACAAACTTTTAAAAAGTTGCCACAGACAGAAGATAAAGTATATCCCGTGGCCATATGAAGCAAACTATATACATTACGCACTAACATATTTTTATTTTATGATACCTTTTATAATACAAATTATTTTTAATGTACCTGAACATAGCTACTAATGCTGAAAAGTAAGGTGTTTAAGTTATAGAAAGTAGTGTGTTTAATTACCGAACATGGTATTTACCTTTGGGTTTATTTCTCCTGATACACATAAAGATTATGGGAATCAATGATCTAATGCTAACAGATTGTTGCAAGTACTAAGAAAGAAGTGTGTTATGTAAACAAAGCTTAGGGAAAAGAAGTTGTTTTGGCCATTACATTACGGAACTTTACTATTTGCTTCAATAAAGTTTTAACCATTAATCCTATTAGTATTAGAAAAACAAAATTAAACCAAGAGATCCTGAAGTCTGAGGTAATCTGATCTTAACAGGTAAAAGAAACATACTAAAAACTAGAACTTAGAGATAGTCAAGCACGTATAACCCAAGTTATCAGCTTTCCTACACCTGTAGAATATTCACTGCTTCCGTAAGTCCTCTTATAAAGCACTGGACCAGCACCAAGTGTCTACATGACAGAGCGTGGGAATAGTCAATGAATTTAATATAATTACTACCCACACCTATATTTCCAGAAATAATACGTTTTCCTGAAGCCTTTAGGAAATCTCTCTTCCCTTACTTGGTTACTTTCCTGGGTCTAGTGCCATGGCTTAAAGGATGTTTTAAGAAGTAATCTTGAGAAAGGCACAGAAATTTGAAAATTGGGACAAGGACAGAAAGGAAATGAAAGGGTTATGATATTAATTCTTCTCCATCACTAATTAATTCTCAAGAAGCAGACAATAATTATAAGTCTTAGAGTAGAAAGAAAATACTCTGGAAAAGAACAGGAATGGGGATACCTCTCCTTCTACAGTACTTTAACCTTTAAGTGAGAAAACTTTAGGACATAGCAATTTAGTACATTTGCAAAATTAGCTATAGTTCCCCTAAAAATAAATACTCAAAAATTAACTCCAAAGGGAAATAACTTATTACAAGCTAGTGAGTTTCACCACAGAAATATGTCAGAAATACAAAATTTAAAATAGTACAAAGTATGGGACAATAACTTACTTGAGTTGGAACAAGTACAGGAGGGTAGGCCATCTTGTGATGCCTGTACACCCAAAATGCACAAATGACAATCCCCGCAATTAACATAAGTGGCACCAAGGAATAAAGTAGGATGTTATAATAGGGTGGCTTAGGTGTAACTGGATTTGAAGTGGCTGCAGAAAAAGGGGGGGGAAAATAACTCAGATACAGTGTACAAAATTCTATAAAAAGTATTTATCATTATATCAAACTTTTGGAAAAGAATAGAATATGAGGAGGGAGAAGTAAATTATTTTATCAACAGATATATATTTTGTTTTCAATCTAGTAGATAAACAAACCTATGGATTTCCCCTCTGAACTTACGCTGTGTGACTTCCATCTCAGGGAAATAAAAAAATTTTTCATTACACATATTGCCCTCACAGCAACAAAAATATACTTCAGGGCTGTCTTTTTTTTCTACACAATCAGTCCTATAAACAAACAGAGAAAGAATAATTAAAATAAGTATTATCCTGACCCTACAAAAGGTGTTTTTCTTCTTAAAGATAAAATAATGAATGAGTCATTAATATTCAACTTCATTATTAAATCTCAGAAACCAAAAACACATTCCTGGATTCCTGTTATAAGCACATCAGAAAAAAAAAAAAAAATTAACAACTGATTTTATAACCACATTGACTCTTGAGACTATTGCTTTAATTTGGTTTTTAACGAGCAATCTAAGGCAACCATCTTTTTTTATTTTTTTAATTATTAGAAAGGCTTGAAGAGGAACCATAAAGTCAATGAGGCAATTTAGAAGTACTTTTGTTTACATGGAATACAGTTTTCCCATTTTGTAAGTACAAAAATGAGAAAACTATATATAAAACTTTGTGTACATATATATATAATAAACATACACATATACATACACACACACTAAATGATGCAAGCTCATGTCTCATGAGTGGAACTTATTTCAACATCAAAAACCCAAACTAGGTTTCAGAATCGATACTATCACTTTTTTTAATAGTACAGATTAAAATTCCCTAAACACAATCAACAGTGTTGAGATAAGTAATAACTAGAGAACAAATATGTAACAACAAACATATAAGGCCCAGTAATAACTCAAAACGTATTAGAATAATGCTGATTCAAGAAAAGACACAGATTTAGCCTCTAGAACAAATTCTAATCAACCAGTAAGAAAACAATTGTATCTTTAAAAAAAAAAAAAATCAAACTTTTAAATACCATTAATAAACATCAGGTGAGCTCAAAAAGGATCTATCTAAACATAATAAATTGAACTTCTAGGACAGTTATGAGAATAATAAGGTTGGATTAAGTAAAAAGTGCAAGAAATTTCAGGGAGACAGTAGTTTTACAATTTTAAAATATATCTATACCAATATTTATTTGGTGGAAGTTGTAAAAAAAGAGAAAGCTAAGTTTTAATAATTTATAAAGAGAAATGCATGAATTTAAAAATGAATATTTAAAATTATGCCTAAAATTTTAGGAAATTAACATGATTAAATATTTAGCCTAATTAATTCAAGAAAATTGCTTTTCACCATGCAATTTTATTTCTTTATTATCTTTTCTTCCATACTTTGACATTTCTTGAATATTTTTTCCCATCTCTTACTATCCTCACTATTTTTAAATCAAATTTTCAGCATAAATACTAAGATTTATACACTTTTAAATTACTATTTAACCCCCAGAAACAAAGATGGAATAGTAATTATCTACTCTAAGACCAAGCACTTGCACTGAACAAGGTACTCCCCAGACTCCAATGAAAATAGCTCAATACAAGTTTCTGTACTGCCTGAGTGTCACATAACTGAAATACTGGTTGTAGCTTAAAAGCAGAATTTTTATTATAGAAAAGAATACAAACTCCTGATTTCAACTAATTACTAAAAGACAGTTTTGAGTTAAGATGATCCCTCAAACCTCATTTTTCTTTCCAATTTCTATTTACCTTTCATGACAGCTCATATCACCCAACAACCACTTCTCCTGGTAGAGAGGCTCATCAGAAATTCAGTTAGAACATGGAAGCACAGAGAAATAGTTCCCAGAAAATTCACAGACTTACAAGTATACCCTAAATACTAATATATACCTAGATGACTTTTATTTTCTCATAAAAAGTAGAGCTAATTCAATTTTCAAGGGCATATTTAATGTGTTTTGCTATTAACCACATACAGCTAATCAATCACAGATTCCAGGTAATCAAGAATCAAGCTCCTGGAAGTAGATCTCGAAGCATAGTGTTCAGTGTATATAGCATCATTTTTTGGCCCCAAAATGTCTGGTCACCCAGGACTTTTCAGTCTCTGCCAGTCTTCAGCACCCACCCATAGTGGAAATCCTATAGCCCAAACTAAGCAATCATCCCAACATCTAAGAGACACCTTACAGAAAGACCATAGGCATTTAATAACATGATCACTATATATTGTTTCCAGTATAGGATAAAGCAATTTAAACAAGATCTTTTAAATAAAATGCAGCTTTCTATAAGAATTATGTTAGTTGTGAGGGAATTCTGAACAATCAAATTAAAATGTCTCTTGGCATAAAGAACAAAGGGCTATTCTGTAAGAAAAAATATATGTATAATAAGATCAATTTCTTCCACATACATAAAGAAGGACATGAAAAGAAAATTAAATACTATGATTAAGCTTTATTCTCCTTCAGGATAGATTTTCAACAGATATACTTCCTTTTAAAGCTATTTTAAAATTTCTTTCTCCTTAAAATTGGCATTAAAAAGGTTTAAAATTCTAACAAAACAAGGAAATAAATAGTTTTAACCTAAGAGTTCTTAGTATTTGGTAGATTATTCAAAATACAGCAAAGATAAAATATAAACATGCCAAATATATTTTATTACTTTAAAATTCATATCTTGTCATTAAGTTATGTTCTAATGTTCTTCATAATCCCATCTTCAAAAAAAAAAAAACATTAAAGGGAAAATTCATGCATTCGCCTTTCCTCTTTTAAAAATGGGAGAAGGATAAAAATTGCTCAACACCTTAGCACTCTACCCAGGTCAACAGGGTGAGACTCTGTCAATAAATAAACAAACAACTAAATAAAACATATACTTACCTGTCATAGCAGTTGATATCATCTAACCAGCAACCTTGTTTCACTATTTCAATGGAACCAGAAATATTCTTCCAGGTAGCAAAACAATGTCGCCGTTTATCTTTGTCACCGTAACAGGGTTCAACACCAGTCTGATTGCTTTTGTCTTTTTCCCAATTAGCATTAAAGAAAAGACACTCCTGAGTTTCGGATCTACCAAGTATAGCACCTGTAAAATTATAAAAATAACAATTTAATATAACTGTATTAATTCTCAAGAGATTGTCTTCCAAGATAGCAACTTCAGGTGTTCCTAAAATGTCAAGAATTTACCATCTTTCCAGTGTTACAACTTTGATTCTATTTCCAAGTTCATCCTTATATGCCCATAAACATAATAAGAAATTACCACATATATCATAAGATTTCTAGACAACATGAATTTCACTTCACTTAAGAACATCCTGATGAAAAAGCAGCCAAAAGTTCTTAATTTTATTAAATCTCAGTCCTAAAGTAGACTTTTTAGTATTTTGTTTGACCAAATAGGAACTAAACAAACATACTTCTACTTCCTACTTAAGTGAGGTTGACCCTTCAACAACTCAGCGGTAAGAGGCACCAACCAGCCCTGCGACCAGCCCTGCGCAGTGGCTGTAATCCTAGCACTCTGGGAGACTGAGGAGGGTGGACTGCCTGAGCTCACAAGTTCAAGAACAGCCTGAGCAAAAGTGAGATCCTGTCTCTATTAAAATAGAAAAACTGAGGCAAGAGGATCGCTCGAACCCAAGAGGTGGAGGTTGCTGTGAGCTATGACATCAAGGCACTCTACCCAGGGCAACAGCTTGAGACTCTATCCCCCCCCAAAAAAAGAGGCACTGACCTCCCACATAGTTGAAAATTGGCAGGTAACTTTTGACTCCCCCAAAATTCAATTAGTAATAGCCTACTGTTCACTGGAAGAGTCATGAATGACAAAATCAATTCACATATATTTTGTGTAAATATTATATACTGTATAATTAAATATTTGTGTAAATATTATATACTGTATAATATACTGTATTACACTAAAGTAAGCTAGAAAAAAAAAAGAAAGAAAGAAAACCAGGGCAGCACCTGTGGCTCAAAGGAGTAGGGCACCAGCCCCATATACCAGAGGTGGCAGGTTCAAACCCAGCCCCCACCAAAAACTGCAAAAAAAGAAAAAGAAAAAGAAAATCTTCGAAAGAGAAAATACATTTACAATTCTGTTATCAATAACATAAGTTTATGTCATCTATTTATAAGATGAGTAGTCTGCCTGAAATCAACCACAGCTGCAGATCTCAATCAATGGACCTATCAGTTAATTCAACTTTTTCTTATAATGACTTTTCTCTGCTTCTTGAGAGTACTTCTTGAATCACTAGTGGAACTCATTTGGGTCCTATGGTATTATTCAAGTTTTACAGAATGGTACTCAACATGACAAAAATATGCAAGCACTACAAGAGATCACTTTTTACTGCGACACACAATTTACTAGAAAAATGAACTGCTCACGTGGAGATGTATCACATGGCATTTTAAGAATTACAACACTTGAGCTCACCAAAATACCAGCAGGAGGTGGCTATGAAATTATTACATTAGGACAGTATGTACTATAATTTTATGCAGTTATGCTTTAATATTACATCTTTACATTTGCTTACATTTCTCTCAACTATGTCGTGTATGGTCTGTATATGCATAAATATTGATAAATTTTAACTTTTTATAATAGATTTGTATATATATTATGGTAGAAAATGATAAATAGACAGGTATCTACATATATTTGATGGATGCATGACATACCTTATTTCTTAATTTGCATTATGCAGTTCACCTATGAGTTTTTTCAAATTGTTGCAAACCTCCAAAAATTTTTCAAATGTATTTATTGAAAATAATACACATATAAGTGAACTAATGTAGTTCAAACCTCTGTTGTTCAAAGGTCAACTGTACAATGGCTGTCTCAAGAAAAAGCCCTTGTGGCTCGGCGCCTATGGCTCAACCGGCTAAGGCACCAGCCACGTACACCTAAGGTGGCGGGTTTGAATCCCCAGCCTGGACCTGCCAAACAACAATGATGGCTGCAACCAAAAAATAGCCGGGCGTTGTGGTGGGCGCCTGTGGTCCCAGCTACTTGGGAGGCAGAGGCAGGAGACTCGCTTGAGCCCAGGAGGTTGCTGTGAGCTGTAATAACACAGCACTCTACCCAGGGGGACAGCTTGAGGCTCTGTCTCAAAAAAAAAAAAAAAAAGAAAGAAAAAGAAAAAGCCCTTGTTTAACAGAGTTATAAACTCAGGCTATGGCTACTCAGACTTGGGTATCTGGCAGACATCTTCTCAAAAGTGAGTAGATAAAAGATCTAAATTTAAGGCATGAAACAATAAAAATCCTCAAAGAAAGTGTGGAGAAATCACTTGAAGATAGGGTAAGACTTTATGAAGAAGACTTCCATGTCAATTGCAACAACAAAAATAAACAAATGGGACTTAATTAAACTCAGTACTTTCTATACAGCTAAGGAGACAACAACCAAAGCAAATAGACAACCTGCACAATAGGAAAAGATATTTGCATATTATGAATCAGAGAAAAGCTTGATAATTAGGATCTACAGAGAACTCAAATTAATCAACATAAAAAGAGCCAATAATTCCTTCTATCACTGGGCAAGAGAAATGAATAGAACTTTCTCTAAAGAAGCCATAGAATGGCTAACAGGCAAGTTTAAAAAATCCTCATTACCCCTAATTATCACAGAAATGCAAATCAAAACCACCCTGAGATATCACCTAATCCCAGTGAGAATGGCCCACATCACAAAATCTCAAAACTGCTGATGTTGGTGTGGATGTGGAGAGAAGGGAACACTTTAAATTGCTGGTGAGACTGCAAACTAATACAACCTTTTGGGAAGGAAGTACGGAGAAACCTCAAAAAATTCAAACTAGACCATCTATTTGATCCTGTAATGCCATTACTGGGCATCTATCCAGAAGAAAAAAAATCCTTTTATCAAAACGACATTTGCACTAGACTGTTTATCACAGTTCAATTTACAATCACCAAAATGTGGGAAATGCCTAAATGCCCACCAACCCAGGAATAGATTAACAAGCTGTGGTATATGTATGCCATGGAATACTATTCAGCCATTTAAAAAGATGGAGATTTTACATCTTTTGTATGGATGGAAGTGGAACACATTCTTCTTAGTAAAGCATCACAAGAATAGAGAGGCAAGAATCCTGTGTACTCAATTCTGATATGAGGACAAATGATGAGCTAGTACATGCTGGGGGGTGAGGAAAGGGGGTTGCAGAGAGGGAAGGAAGGAGTGAGGGGTCACAGAGTATGACCCACCTCTTGGGCATGGGTCACTTTAATAAGAGGGACTTTACCTAACAAATGCAATCCGTGTAACCTGGTTCTTTGTACCCTCAATGAATCCCCAACAATAAAACACACACACACACACACACACACACGCACACACACACAAAAAGTGAGTCAAATGCATCTGTTCCTTTAAGGAAAGCTGACAATATACACTGCCAATGAAAAAATTTAAGTTTTCAAGAAAAAATTAAAATTCTGGAAAGCCTGTATCTGCTGCCATTAGCATGACACCTTCTCAATACAGAATTTTCTGATGAGATCAATGGTGATATTAACAAATATAACTTTAAAATATACAATAATGAAATGTGCCATTACTTAGGAGGTCTATAATAACTCAGAGAACCAATATTTTCCAGATGAGCTATGTGTGATGTTACGAAACCATTCACGGGTAAAAAAATCCACTCAATGTGCATGACAGATCAATAGATTTTAATGATACAAAGGACAAAATGTTCGTGAATGATTTCAGATTACCCACTGCAACTAGCTTTTAAGAAATTATGTCTTATCTGGAAATGCAAGGTAACTGAAATAGCCAAAACAATTCTGAAAAAGAAGTACACAGGAGAATTCATACTTCCTTATTTTTAAGACTTCCTCGACAACTTCAGCAATAAAGACAGTGTAGTCTTAGTGAAAACAGACACATATATCAGCAGGACAAAATAAGAGAATCCAGAAATAGTCCCACACATATATGGTCAGAAAAGATGCCAAGGCAAGTCAATAGATAAAAGATAGTCTCTGCAACAACAAATGCTAGACCAATTGAACGTCCACATGCCGAAACACACACACATACCCTCTCAACCCAGATCTCACATCATATACAAATTCACTGTAAACATATCATAGACCTAAAAATACCTAAAACTATTAAATTTCCAAAAGAAAAAACATGAAAATCTTTCTGACCTTGAGTTATGAAATATTTCTTAGAACACAAAACACATAAACTACAAAAGAATTAATAAATCATTCATAAAAATGAAAACTTCTCTGAAAGGGAAAAGAAAAAAAAAGTCACAGACTGAAAAAAAAAATGCCTGCAAAACACATTTCTAAAAATGGGCTGATACTTAGAATATATGAAGACCTCTCACAACTCAATCATAAGAAAACACACTATCCAATTATATGAGATATGAATGGAAGAATTCTAAATGAAAACCTACTCAACATTATCAATCATTAGGGAAATGCAAAATAAATGAAATACCCATTAGAATGACTAAAACAAAACAAAACAAACAACAACAACAAAAACAGACAATATCAAGTGCTGCTAAATAGATGAGCAACTGGGACTTTCACTGGAGGTGCTAATGTAAAATGGCCCAGCCACTTTGGAAAACAGTTTTGCAGCTTCTTATGGAAAACTTCTGTGCACACAAACGTCTGTGACTATTCAGTGTGGCTTCATTCATAATATTCCCAAACTGAAAATGACCTAGGGTCCATTACTGGTAAATGGATATGCAAACACTCCTACAATAAAAAGGAATGAACTGGTGATTATTGTAAAAGCAGGGATGAATCTCAAACATTTGTCAATGAAAGAAGACAGATTTAAAAGCTGCCCTATATGATTCCATGCATACAATATTCTGGAAAAGGCAAAACTATAGGGACAGAAATAAGCTCATAGACTGTCCAAAAAATGGCATGAGAGGAAGGGAATTCCTTACAAAAGGGCCTGAGGAAACTGTGTGGGATGATACAAATGTTCCGCATCTTGATGTGGTAATGTTATATGCCTACATGGACGGGTCATACATTCTAATC